ATTTTAAAGTTTAAAATCGAAATTTCGCAAAGTACGCCACCTTCGATTTTTTTTTTGTTTTTTTTATTTTATTCCTTTTTAAATTTGCTTTCGATTAAGTCATGTCTCATGATGGTAATCGATCTGGAACAGGCCCAACATAAGGCCCAAAGGCAAAAATCCACCTTTTCCCAAAAATCTGACGTTCAGTTATCGTTATCAGCGACCTTCAAAACCTAAGAATACACCTCAAACCTGATTATGACCGTCTTGAGGGTTGAGATATAACGGTAAAAAGGTGGATTTTTGCCTTTGGGCCTATATATATATATATATATACATGTATATGTATAGTTTTACAAATTCACGATAAAAGAGGAAAGAGAAACGGACGATATCTCCACTGCCGATCGTCTTCCGCTAAAGGAACGATCGCTAGTCGAGTCGTACGTCGACCAGTTTCATTCGGAAGCTACGATTCACTTAACTTACAGAGTTTTTATTCCTTAAAGCACCATTTTAGCACCAGATTAGGCTCGCAACGCTCGTTTTCGGGGCTCTTTCCTCAGCGAAGTTCCACGTTCGCACCTTCGATCGCGGACTAAAATGAACATGCATTATGGCAACGGCCAAGGCAATCCGGAAAAGTCCACGGGACCGCCCAAGCCCGCGTCGGCTTCCAAGAGGCTCATGATGACAGCCATCGCTGCCTCGTCGTTGCCGTCGGACGGGATCGGATTCGGCGATTCGTTAATCGTGGTACTGCCGATCATGTCCATCATTTCCTCGTCTGGTGACGCTCCTGAAAGGAGGTGGATGTTACGTTATGCGTAATATCGTTAATATCGACACTGAGGTGGTGGCCGACACCGATACGACTTGTAGTAGCCGTGCGGTACCGATCGTTCTCGACTTGCTTCTCGTAATATCCCTCTCTCTCTCTCTCTCTCTCTCTCTCTCTTTTCCTCTTTCTTGCACAAGCGAGTATTAGAGCTTCAAGAAGGAAAAAGAACCTAAGAGAAATATATCATCGAAACTCACAGTTTCCCCTCGACTTTCGACTTTTGCCACGCTCTCTAACGCGAACGCTTCCTCCTTCTATATTTTTCACGCTTTTTTTTTTTTCTAGATCTCTTCGAAATGATTTCGGCAATCGCATTACACACCAAGAAACGACTCCTTAGAGACAGTAATAGCTATGACCTTGGTCGTTCGCGATGCTGTTGAGCTGCACGTTGTTCGCTACGTGGTTGAACGTCGACGTCGGATTGCCGCTGTTGTCGCTGCCGATGCCCGGCTGGGACACGTCGGCTGGGGTTCTCTCTGGCGACACCGTCGTCGTGGTTTGCATCTTCAATCGAGAGCAGAACATTAAAACGTCAATTGACGTTTAGCCTCGTTAAAACATATTTACCTCGGTATTTAATAAACCAGCCTCCGCCGTTGGACCCGGACTACTACCCGCGGAAGAGTCCTCGCCGCGTCTTTGAAGGTCTAGTACTTCTTCCGCTATTTGCCGGCCGATCTTACTTACCTCCACGTGGCTCGAGATCAGTCTTTCTAGTCCACCGTTACCTACAAACGAGACAAATTCCATCAGGTTCCATCGGGATCAAGATTGCTCGTCATATCAATGAGATCGTTCGATGACAGGAAGAAAGAAATGAAGAACGTGTCTTCGAGTCGCACTTACTCTGCGTGAAGTAATCGTAATTGCCCTGCACGCTCGAGTCCTCCGATCCATTATTTCCACCCGGACGCGTGTCCCAGCTGAGAAAGGGAAGGGAGATTTATTTTAATTACTTGTATCATCGCTGAAGTATCGTGAAAGAAACGTAACGTGAGTATCGTGAAAATGACGTAACGTAGCTTACAAGATAGCGGAATTCTTGGCGATTAGGTACTCGATGTCTTTGGTCCACGGATTTCTGAAGGACTTCCACTCGGACTGCAGTCTCACGAAATTCCCGCTCTTGCTCCGAAACCTATAGATCTGCAAGCAGAATGGATATATTCAAAACAACGTAACGGTTGCACAATTATTGAGTCAATATTATCCGTGATTGGTTTATATTATTGCATGCAGAAAATTTTTCCTGGATAATATAACATACGCAGTAGTATAATTTACTAGACTTGGGTTGCACGACTAGGATATATGTTCATATTGAAGCCCAAAATTTAGATATGACTATAATAAATGAATAATTTGATGATATATGTTTTTAATTTGATTATGTGTGTGTGCGTGCGTGCGAATGTGTGTGTGTGTGTGTGTGTGTGTGGGTGTGTCAATTTATCATCTGCATAAAAAGATATCAGAAAAGTAAAAAAAAATGTCTTGTGTTTTGTTCCTCTCAAATGCTGGAGAAGTTTGTTGCTTTATTTGCGGAACACCCTGTATATATGAGAAAAAATAGTAAAAAACAGGATTCGTTGTGTTTGTGATATAGACTATGATGTCCGATCATGATGTAGTGATATGCAATTGTAATCGTGTCGTTTGCGTGGTTTTCTAAAATTTCCCATACTGCATTGACATTGTTTCGACGTTACAAGTAATATCCCAGCCAGGCAAGATAACGCCCGGCTCATGAATGTTTTCATCTTCAAGAAAAATTCTCTGCGTACAGATCTATCAATCAGTTCTATTTTCCAAAAGTCAATTATTCGACCGTTGTGTTTGCTCAGCGCATTCAACAATGACGCATCTCATCGTGCGTAAAACGCATCGCGCTCGTTACGAGCAGCACATTACGCAGACTCGTCGTACAGAGTCTTCCATTAAGGGTTTCATTTTAAATTAATAAAAAATGAAATAAATTTTTGAAAACGTTGAGATATATTTATTCTAATCCAAAGTATAGATTGTGCAATTAAACGTGAAACACAATATCATCCAAATGGCCGCCTCAACTTTTCTTACAAATGGTCATTCTTCTGAGGAAATTTTCCATCACATTTTCGCACAATTGTGGCTCAATTTCGCCAATAACAGTTCGAATATTGTCTTTGAGTGCTTAAATCGTTTGCGGAGCATTTGTGTGAACCTTATCCTTCACATAACCCCAAAGGAAAAAATCCAGGGGTGTCAAATCGCACGATCTGGCGGTTAATTGATGTCTCCGTTACGCGAAATGACACGTCCAGAGAGGTTGCTCATCAATCGCTTTTGGGTTTTCAGCGTCCCAGATACGGCAGTTTTGCTTATTGACGTAGCCTTGAAGATGGAAATGGGCCTCATCGCTCAAAATGATTTTCTTGAAAAAATCAGAGTCAACCATTTGCATTTCCAATACTCAATCGACAAACGTACGGCGTTGTCCATCGGCTTCAATTTTTGTGCCAGTTAGATTTTGTAAACATATAGGCCTTTGTGCAAAATGCGGTGCAGGCAAATTTGTGAAATGTCCAATTGCTGCGAACGTCTCGCAATAGACAAACCAGAATTTTCCGCGACACTTTCAGCCATAGCAGCAATGTTTTCGATTGATCTGACTGGCTGAACACGGGTTGGGTTCTTAACATCGCTAACCTGGCCAAGATGTTTAAATTTATCGATTAAATTCACAATTGCTAGACGAGAAGGTGCTTCTCTGTGACTGAAACTGGTACGGATTTTGCGAACTATCTCAGCGAAATTTTCACCGTATTTGTAGTGAGTTTTTACTATTTCCATGCGTTGCTCAAACGAATTCGATCCATTGTTATTAATCGCACAGTTTTTATTCGACAACTGTCAAATATGACAACTCCATCTATAACAGGTACAAAATGCCGCAAAACTTAAAATGAAACCTCTTAATGGATGACCCTGTATAATATTAAGAATGGAAATACTCGCGAATATTCGCGTTCGTAAGAAAAATTTGCGACAACGACGATGACGTTGGTATCCACGCTCGGCGCGCATTATTAATAATGTTAATACTCGGCCGATTATCATTGCAAAGGAGCGCGTTGTAAGCAAAATCGGTATCAATCACCTGCGTGGTAACGCGCTCGATGGTCTGCAAGGCGGCTTTGTGAGACTCCGCCAGATGAGGAATATCGTCGTGATGATAATATTCGTACATACTGGTGCCCAATAATTCCTGAGGTAGAAAGCCCAATACTGGAGTAGCTCTGTGGAAGCGAGGAAAGATCACGTTCTCTCATCATCGACTCGGGCTTACCAACTCGACCCCGCTCGGACGTACCGACCTTTGGTCCACGAAGAGAAATTTGCCGTCCATCGCGTGTCGCGACACGAACTGTATGGGTCTCAAGTAAGGCTTCCTCGACGACAACGCGGCCGTCGATATCGCCGTTTGGACCCGGCCGACCGCGACCAGGCAAGACAGATTGCAAGCCTCACCGTCGGCCTCGCCCTCTTGCTCCTCGAGGCCGATCTTCGCGGGCGCCCAGGACTTCAAATAGCCCGTGCATTGAATCACGCAGTACTTCCAATCTGTGGAAAAGATGGAAACACTCTGTTTACCTTCAACTGGAAATGGGATCTCGAGACGGCGACTTTGTTACGGACGATATTGCGTCACGCAACATTACAATCGCGAGTTAAAGGGCGTACTTATACGCGAGCGGCTCGAAAAACGCTCAATGTTTGAATTTTTCTGCTGACTACGCTATTGACTTTATGAAGATGCCTTTTTGAGAGATGATTCTTTCCAGAGTACACAGTACAGTGTCCAAAATCAAGATATAAAGACTTAAAGATGCCTTAAAGATATCTTACGTCTCGATTTTGGATATTATGCTGTCTGGGCTCGCACTTTTTATTTACATATTACATGAGGCCTATTACAAAAAGTTGATATATAACGTTGTTATCACTGTTTCCATGAAACTCGCCATCGCTAATCGGCATTTTCGCTATCCAAAAAAATCCCTGACACTATTTATCTAAAACAAATCAAGCTTAAACCTGTTAAAGTAGACGAACAAAACGAATCTTTGTCAATTTTTAAAATATTACTTTTTACCGATTCTTAATCGATAATTTTTAGCCAATTTTCAAAATATTAATTTTCGATAACGTTATTATTAACATTCGAAGTTAAAAGTCCGATTTTTCGCCGCAAAATTTCTCCTCTTTTCATTTATAACACAAAACTATAATAAATATCAAAAAATCCTACAATAAAAATAATCTTACTAATGATTTTATTACCACTTTTCGTAACGGGCTTCATGTTATATGCAAATAAAAATATGAAGAATCATCTCTCGAAAGGACATTTCTATAAAGTCGATGATGTGGTCAGCAGAAATATTCAAATATTGAGCGTTTTTTTAGCCATTCGTGTGTATGTGGCCCCTTAATCACAATCGCAATAAAAAACACGTGTCCGATTATACGAGGACGACGAGGAATCGCGGAAGGCGCGCTATGAGAAGGAGATGATCGAGACCTCACGATCGCCGGCGAGATATTTGATGAGTACATAGTATCGGCGATCCTTTCACCGGTCACTGGCGATATTATGCGCCTCCACTTTTCACCTTTGACGAGCCACGCGGCAAAATATTCGTGCCGCGTCTCCGATCGTGCGTGCGACCGTCTCAGCGTCCGAAAGAAGACACGCACTCGTTTCTACCCCCGCTTCAAATCGTTTCTCGCAGTTGCTTTTTTCCCGAGTTGCTTTCATTCTGCCTCTCGAAGAAAGATTAAATCCATCATCGGAGAATGGAGTAAACTTTTTCGCGAATTCCCGAGACATTTCTTCCCACAAAGATACAAGATTACATACACGTTTTAAAAGCACACAGATAGACATTACAATCGGATCACATTTTATTTGGAGATGCAATTTCCGCGAGAGAGATTTAATCTGAAGGTAGTGCAAACGTTATTTTCACCACCGGACAGTCTTGCGATTATCTTAGATGCTTGATCTTTCAAAGGGTTCTTCAAGTAAGAATTTGAACATCTCCGACTTTTTGATAAAAAATAGCGTCTGGTTTGTCATTAGAATGTCTCTCTATATATATGATGAGTACTTACGATATATCGAACTCAGGCATATTTTTCTAAGGAAGTATATGCGATTCATTTTATTATATATAATACTATATATAAAAATAAATTTTTAATCTCTTAGAAATTAATTTTTTTCATTATTTTATTATTATTCAGCTGCCTTTAAGCAGTAGTACTAGCAGTCGGTACTCAGTATTCAATATTGGTATTACTTTCTCGTAAGAGTGCCATCTTAGAATAACATTTAATTACAAATAGAGTTCCTTTAGTAATCCTCAGTACCGTTATTATTGATCAAATAAGGAATTGACCAATCAGTAAGAAATCGGAGATGTCCAGGTTTTTATTAAAAAAATTCTAAATTATATATTTTAAACGCGCTATCTATTCAGTCATATCTGATATGCAATGACTAGATAAAGGTTGGATCACCAAATCTATATTTTAGTGAATAATCAGTCAAGTGACGAACCAGTAACGAGCTGGAAAATTTAATCTAGCCTATGCCAGTCTAGCTATTAGCTTTTGACTTTCAGGCTGATATATTTCTACTCAAAAAAATCTTTTCCTCCGAATGTGCGCACGCGAAACGCACCGAGCCCCGTCGATTTCGCTCGTATTCGAACACTCGACAGTTATACTCACCTACGTTTTGCTGTTTCTTTCGTCTGTGGCAGCCAGTAGTAGTAGTGTCGGCTTCCTCTTTCACCTGCATCTCACCGCAACGGACCCCCTCAACCTTACGCTTCATCCGACAGAAGAAGGACCTTCGTGCGCCAGGGCAGAGTCGTGATACGCCTTGGGGCACGTCAGTTTTCACCGGTAACATCGCTGAAACAATCACGATGACAATAACAGTCTCCGCTCATCACACTTATTCCATCTATCGTCGCTTCTTATTCGCGTTTTTTCTCTCTTCCTTCGCGTCCCATCTCAATTAAGTCGCTCGTTTTTTTCTTCTTTTTAATTTTCTCACACGACGCTCGAAGAGCTCCTTTCTGCCTCTCTCTCTCTCTCTCTCTCGAGCATTTCTCGAATACCTCGATCGGATCGAGAGTGCCTCACATGTGAATCGCGTCGCAACGATGCAGCAATGTACGAGGAATCCTGACATTAGATTCGATCGGCGAATCTCTTTCGTCCCCTCATTCAGTGCTCGGTGCTTTCGCAATGCGCTTATCTAGGCACGCTAATTCAAAGATGTTTATCGGCAGAGCTTACGAGCAAATGCTGCCGGACGACTGACATTTATCAGGTGAAGGTGGAAGAGATGCGCGCGCGTGCGCGAATAATTCGCGCTCGTGTGATCGATGCGCCGAGCGCGGTGAGGTAACGTCGAAAGGCGCTATAATTAATAGCTTCGGAGGTAGAAAGTCTCCGCGCGGTCTCCGGAGAAATTATCGCTCGCGTGCAAACGTATTTGCCGCGCGGCGATTTCTAGCGGGTCGTCGCGACAGAACAGCCGAGGAAGAGATACTCACTCTTCGCGTCGATCAGTCGCTCCCGCGGGCTGAGGTCCGAGGACGAAAGCTGCTCCTTCACTTTGGCGACATCCTTGGGATGCAAGATGTCGAACCAGCTTTGACCCAGTAGATCACCCTGCGACGTACACAAGCACCGTTGACTTGCGAACGCAACGCGGACGAAGTTTCGAAGCGAGTTCCGTAGCCACGCGGAAGAAACGCAAAGAGAAACAGCATTAAAACCGACATACTATTCTGTTTTTAAGCTCTTGTTGCAGGTGTAAATTTGAAGTTTATGCGCATGGATGCAAACCAGCAACGCTTTCCCACCAAAATATATGATTGTCCTTATGAAAATTATTACATATTTCCTTATAACAAATAACTATTCTTTAAGATACCTGAGAATCAAACTCTAAAACCGACATACCCATGATATCTATCGGAAATTATCAAAGAAAAAAAATAAAATAAAAACACTAAAGTCACATTATTTTGTACATTTGTTATATATATCGTTATATGTTATCTTTAATTCTACATATTTTTTTTATTTTACAAATTGTACGATTGTTGTGTATTGCTCCTTTATTACGTGGAAAGGGATCCTCTGACTTCTTTCCGACCATCTTAAACAGACAAAGAAGAAAACAGAGAAAAATCAGTTACCGTAAGCTTCAACTGTATTCTGTAAAGTGATATTTCATAGCAAAGTCCAGGTATGTTGGTTGAAAAGACAGTAAACTCAGATATATCGATTTACAGACTAATCTAATCCTAATTTTCCTTACCATATCTATGGTCATTTTTCTATGCTAGATCACTGATATGATAACTTTTAGTATTGCCCAAATTTTAATATTACTTATTCTTATGAACTTCTAATTATCAAGCATTTCCACCTATCAGAAGTCGATTAGCTTTTAGCGATTAGCCGGCACCTTATGTATGATTGTACGTAAACACAGTTTGACGAATGAGTATTTAATATACATTTTATAGATACAAATTCAAAATAAACATATTTCGTGGCTCTTTGACCGAAAGATAAGTGGCTGAAGGAATAGACAGAGAAGATACTGAAAACTTTATCGACGATTCGTCCGATATGTATGGTTATTTGTTTACAACCAGAAACTGAACCACTTCAACTCTAACTACTGTACATAGTAAACGAAATTCATGTTCCGTCCGATAGAGTTTACTACTTTACAATCGAGAAACATGGGTATGTTGGTTTATTATACTTATGCCAGTTTTGGTGCTCTTTCTCTAATGAGTAGACACTTTAATGAATATCAACGAGCGACTGCATCGAACACTCCATCTTCATTCAAAGCTTCATTAAAGGCATTAAAATTGCTTTTCACTCACGTGCTTTTTGTTTTTCATTTACGCACGCCAATCTCCGAAGACATTTCGAGTACTTTCGATAACTCCGCGAGAGAGTCTTAATTAATACGCGACAAACATCCCGAAGTGACGTTCAACTGACGAGGTGGTAAATTGGAATGTTACGACACCGGCACGGCGACAACGATTGCCACCGCTCGAACGTGCTCGTAAAGAGGCATAATTTATAATTAGCGAAATACACGCAGTAGACGTTATTCAGACAGAGGCTAACGATGTCACGAGTGGCGTGATTAATTCACGATCGGATATTTCGCGTACGCATTTTGACGCGCGACTTGATATTTTTTTGCCACACGGCTGATAAGTCTTGCAGCCGTAAAACTTGGTCTACAATGTGCAGTATTTGCGCCTTGTTTCTTGCTTTCTATTTTTCTTCAGTAAGAACTTCCATTTACTGATAGAAGAGAGAGAGAGAGAGAGAGAGAGAGAGAGAGAGAGAGAGAGAGAGAGCGCAAGAAACAAGAAACAAAGAGCACATTGTAGATCAGGCTTAAGAAATTTGAGATCCAAGCAGCCGCGTAAACCAATACCTGAGAATAATTGAGAGTCTGCGAGACGGACTCGGACACGTAGAGAATTCTTCCACGATCGCAGCCTACCACGAAGACGAAGCCCTCCGCGGCCTGAAATAAGACAAGCTGCTTTCCGTTACGCCGTTAAGGTTGAAGCGTTGATTGCAATCGCGAGGCGATCACCAACAAGCCGCCTCGAAAGCGTGTTTTTCAAAGACGAAGATTGCGCCGCTCGTCGGAGATGCGCTCCTCGGTCCGTGTAAAGTAAAAATAAAAAAATATCTTCTATTATATTTAATGAGCGTTATTTCGATTCGTGACTTCTCGAGAGAAAGATGAGATTTTTCGGTGTACATCTGACTAAGGATAAATTTATCCAAGTCAAAATTTTAGTCCTACATTAAATCTACTTAGTTCCACATTGAGTCCTCAAGTGAAGAAAACGGAAATAACTTCCCCTTTAGCACTACTAGAGCTTCTTCGATGCTACAAAGGAAATTCAAATTTCCCGAGAAGAGATTTAAAGTTCAAGTCTAGAAATCTGGAAACAGAACTTAGAAACTATATGTCACCGGTGAATCATTCTCAGCCCGTGTAAACATAAGAAACATTTTCGACTTCAGTATAATGAACATTATTATAATTCATGGTTCCTCAAGAAATATAATATTTTTCTGTGTTCATCCGGCTAAAAATAAGTCTCTCTCTAAAACTTGAGCCGGGCAGCCGTCGTGTTAAGGTTTAGAAATTTAGAGAAAGAATTCAAATATGTTAACGATAGAAGATCGTTAGTCGCGTAGCGTCGCGTGTCTCGAATAATCGATCGTTGACATATCGATGACGTTAATAAAATCCCATCATCTCGCCGCATCATCCAGCTCAATCTCTCAGTAATCTCCGTGCGAGTGTAATTAGCATCTTCGCCGCCACGAGTCGAAGACAAAGAGAGACACGCTACCTCGTGCAAACGATCTTTCGCAATGTGCGGTATTGTGCATCGGTGATTTAATGGTATGGTGTTCGCGTCTTCAAACAAGAGTTTCGACGTCCGTTATGTTACAGCGAACCCGGCCGATTCTTTCGCTTCGCGCGTTTATTCGGCTATACGAAAGATATCACCCACGCGCGACATTTACGTTCGCGCTTCCACGGACAACATAATCGCCTCATATCGCGCATGAGCGCGTATCATTTATCGCGCTTACATAGGCGCTTAATAACGTCTCGCATTGCGTAACCCGTGGTGTTCATGGGGTTCGATACGCCGTCGATCGCATGTAACATTCATTAATGTCAATGCACTTGCGCACGGCTTAAAAGCCGCCCGTGTCGTGAATGTGTGCATTCGAGTCTCACGCCCGTGCACCATTCTGCTCTCTAAATTTCTCGGAATGAAGTTTCGTTCGAAATAAGCGAAAAGTGGCGATATCTTTAAGTTGTTTTTAAGACGTCTAAAATACATCTTATATTCCGATTTGGGATATTATGCTATCTGGGAGGTCACTCGCAAATCTGAGAGACTCAGCGGTCATTCACCTTCCGAAGTAGAATTTCACTCCAAGAAATTTACAGGCACATCACGATCATAATTCTCTCACACCTACGCGTTACGTTTTTCCCTGGAAGAGAAAAAAAAAGCAATCATTCGCGGAAACATTCGATCTCAAGCGCGAGAACTTTTCCTTCTCTCGGAGCGCGGAGGTATTTGCCCATCGACGAGAGCAATAAACGCGTGCGTTACGGCAGTTCCCGGACTTAAAGCACGTCGTAACGATCGTAACAATTACCGATTTTTGCTCCATATAAACACGCGGCGGGACTCGGCGTTATCCCCCCGGCCCGAATGCGAGCAAACGGCCGGCGGGATCTCCGGCGGTAATAAAACGCACCGATTCACAATGGAGCTTTATAATGCCGCGATTATGCGCGTTCAGAATTGCGCGGTACCGCGATCTCACTTGGTATGCCGGGCGTGGTCATTCACTCTCAGATACTTTCCTATGGGGGACACGCGAGCGGGAAAGACCCGATAAAAGATAAACGCGCGCGGTGTACACACGACAATGAGAAATGTCCGGCTCCGCGTTCGAATTAGCGCGTCACGAAATCCGGGACTGCCGCAGAAGTTATCGGTACGCGTGCGATTGTGCCAGAGCACGCGAAATCCTCGGCACAGGTGTGAAGCGAGTATAAGCGAAAAGGGAGGCTCACGCTCAAAAAGCGAGACCATAGAAAATGCCGGTCGTCCTCTCCCATCGAGGGCTCTTCCAACCGGGAGAACATCTCTCGCGCTAATTGGCTCGGAATTAAAGGCGTAGGTGATTCCAGCGCCTCGCACACAGGTTATCTATTAGCTGCGATACTATAAATCTACATGCTTCAAACGGTGCCTTTCGCCGGCATAAGACCAAGTCCCCGATGAAAAATCCGTAGCACGCGGGAGAAAGGGAGTTACCCGGCGGTTTCGCTCCGCTCCATCTCGCGAAAGGATTACAAAAGATACCAACCGGCCTCTCCTGCGGTGTGTCCCGAGATAAAAATTCGCGCGTCGCTAATAAATTTCCAGTTCAGCGTGGAAATCGACAATGATCCTGGTGGAAAATGAATCTCGTGGGCGGGGGGGGGGG